TGTACATATATATATATATATATATACACATATTTGGAAGTCTCTTTTGATGACAGCTAAGTAAGACTATAGAGATTTGATGTGTTAAGTTCATGGGACTGTTTGGGGTAAAGCAAATTTACAGCAATGTATTTAATAGTATGAGCCTATGTGCATGAGGCAGATAGGGCTACTCTGCAAATATATAAAAGGCTTTCTAGAGAAACAGAGATTAGCTGAGGTGACGCCCAGCTGTCAGATCTACAAATAGGAGGGGCGGGGTCAGTGACTCTTAGCCTCTAATGCAAAGAGAAGCATTCAAGTGTTTGCCAAAAGGTAGGTTCCAAGCCTCCTACAAGAGAAGGTCTAGGATAGGACCTTATAATTTACGTTTTTGTGTTTTTATTATTTATTTTTTTTTTAATTTTTTTTCAACGTTTTTTTATTTATTTTTGGGACAGAGAGAGACAGAGCATGAACGGGGGAGGGGCAGAGAGAGAGGGAGACACAGAATCGGAACAGGCTCCAGGCTCTGAGCCATCAGCCCAGAGCCTGACGCGGGGCTCGAACTCATGGACCGCGAGATCGTGACCTGGCTGAAGTCGGACGCTTAACCGACTGCGCCACCCAGGCGCCCCACGTTTTTGTGTTTTTAAATGTTTCTTTATTCTTGAGAGACAGAGAGAGTGAGCAGGGGAGGGGCAGAGAGAGGGGCGGTGAGGATCTGAAGCGGGCTCTGTGCTGACAGCAGAGTCCAACGTAGGGCTCAAACTCAGGAACCGTGAGATCATGACCTGAGCTGAAGTCAGACGCTTAACTGACTGAGCCACGCAGGTGCCCCATAGTTTGCATTTTAATAGGCACCCTAAGGTGATTTTGATACAGGCGTTAATATGGACTGTTCTTGGACAAACACCAGCTACGGATCTCAGGCACATGGGCAGGGGCCAATGAGAAAACACTTGTCTTTTAGGACCGGATGGAAAGTAAAGGAATAAGGAAAGGGTAAGAGGTGACAGGGTACTGGGTGCAAAAATTACTTTCCCTTGGTAGGCTGCTTAGACCGTATAGAAAGTATGCCTCAGTGGGGCGCCTGGGTGGCGCAGTCGGTTAAGCGCCCGACTTCAGCCAGGTCACGATCTCACGGTCCGTGAGTTCGAGCCCCGCGTCAGGCTCTGGGCTGATGGCTCAGAGCCTGGAGCTTGTTTCCGATTCTGTGTCTCCCTCTCTCTCTGCCCCTCGCCCGTTCATGCTCTGTCTCTCTCTGTCCCAAGAAATAAATAAACGTTGAAAAAAAAATTAAAAAAAAAAAAAAGAAAGTATGCCTCAGGATTAGGTGGCTGAAGGCCTCCTACAGGGAGAGGTTCAGACACAGGAACAAGAGAAGCCCTGGAGGAGAATAGCTAGAGTCAAAGCAAAATAAAAACCTCACTTTGCTGGCTGACACACTGGCAGCTCCAAATACTGATTTAGATGAACCCTTTACCTCTGCGGTGATCTAGCCTTTTTCATGAAATACTCGTCTCTGTCCCAGTGAGCTCTCTAGGGACACGATTGTAGCTTTGTAGTCCTTCACGCTGGGTTGTTATATTGGCCAACTTGCCTTAGTGCTGTGTTGAAGAGCTCGGTAGAAACAGAGAGTGGGGTTGATCTCTTCATCAGGGTTCCTAAAAGCCCTATCTCCGCAAGAATTCAAGAATTCGGGTCGACTGAGTGCTGCTCAGAATCCTTTATTAATTCCCCCTTGATGTATCACCAGTGAGGAGTCAAATCTTCCTATTTTCTGTCCAAACACTAACCACCACTGGGGCTTGGAGCAAAGACGGAAGCCTTTTAACTACAGATAAAGGAACTACACAAGAGGAATCCGTGGGGACAAAGAATGAGTCCTCTGACAAAGAGGCCTACTGTGTGGCTTCTTCAGAGCAGGAGGTGCGCTTGGATCTGTGAGCAAGGAGGAAACACTGGATTAATGACACTGAAGAAGAGAGAATAGAGGTGAAACAACGGGAAAATGCCTTGGTGGATTATTTTGTGATCTTTGGTGACTGAGTACCGCTCACAGTGCCGGGAAGTAACCCTGTTCAGAGGTGACTGGCAGTAAAGGGGGCAAAAAATGTCAGTGGAGAACCAACCTGCCATGTGAGGAGTCAAGAAATTGCAATGCTTAGGACTTTGCAATCACAGTTGCAAACTGTCAGTCGCAGGTCTATGTTCTTAGAAGAGTTGTACTTATGGAGCATCTGGAGATTATTTATTTTTCTTTTCTCTCTGCATTGTAGCAACATTTCCCAAATGAGTTTTGCCCAGTATTTACCCCGTGGGATGCTCCTTTGGAAAAGAGTTTCATGATCAGATTTTGGGGGAACACTGCCAACTCTATCTTCCTTGTAGATGTACGCAGAAGGCGATTCAACCAAGAAAAGAAAAACAAAATACAAAAGCTATACGTTTGCTTATGTACGTTTTAAAGGATGGCAGGAGAAAACATTAAAAATGGTTGTCTATAGGAGAGGGAGGCAATAGAAAGTAGACTTCTTCGAATGTACCTTATTTTGTATATTTAATTTTGGGGTTATGTAAATATTATGGAGAATTCTAAAACAAAGCTGAATAAATTTAAAAAAATGAATTGCTGGAAATTGAAAGTAAAGGAAAACAAATGAACCTGTTCCTGGGTGGGACATACTTCTGAAAAAGATGTATTCCAATTGACTCTAAAGCAGCAAATTTTAACTGTAGATCCCTTCTGGGGATATGCATCAAGCCAAATGACCTAACCAAATAAGAAACCCCCCAATATACTGTTTCAGTAATCATATTGTTGATAGTAAGGTTGATATTGTTATTTGGAGATTTTGTGTGCATTATTACAGGAAAAGTAATTATGCTGGTGGTGTTGAAAGTTGAAATTTTTTGGCATGGTTGAAAAGAAACACACATGTAAAACTGACGATGTTATGTACAAACCCCATAGCCCTAAATTTGAATTGGAAACATCAGTATGAACTCACAATGCATTTTATCCTCAACAACACAAAATGTGTTTTTTAGCTCTATCCATCCCAAACCCTAGGGACAAAGACCAACATGGTAGCAGTAAGCATCCCTCCAATCTAGATTATGTTCTCTAAATGTCACTAGAAGGAACCAGGAGTCTTCAGAGAAATGCCTGCATCTAGGTCTGGGGTGCAAATGAGCCTGGAAATTTTGTCATACCGGAAAGAAAAGACGCTATGAAATAACACTAGAATGATGTCCACAGGACTGAAGACCTAACTTGAACAAGTTCTTAATCAAAGATGGGACAATTTTAACATTAATAAGGATCATGACTGCAGTATTTAAATCTATAGGCTCATAATGACATCAAAAAGAAGAAACGTTCATTGGATATCTTTGGAGGGTTTCAGGGAATCATTTCATTATTTTAAAAACAAGTACATTAAAGAAAAGAAGCAGAGGACTATTTCAGGTTTCTCGTATGATCTGAATTTCAGAATAACCAAATAGTAGAGTTCTTCTTTAAAGGAATTTAACTGATAAATGAAAAAGGGATAGCAAACTTAAGATATGACCAGACAATGACTATCAGTGGTTGATGACATTACAGAGAAGGAAACCATCAGAATCATGTGCCTCCTGAAGAAGTAGTCCTGGGAAAAAGAAAAAAAAAATTAAGTTAAATCCGATCAAGACTCTAAATCTTACTAGTGACTTATAAGAAATACAAGGGACAGAGGAACAGGCTAAGTGTTACCACAGAGGTATAATCAAAAAACCCAAACTGGAAAACTTTACAAGACAATTGAGACTCTGTTTCTTCAACAAATATCTTAAGGGGAGGAAAGAGATGGGGAATACATTGGAGGTTAGAAGAGACTTAGAAGATATAACAAGCAATTGGAACATGTGGGTCTTATTTTGATTCTGACTTAAATGAACTGTACGTGGAAATAAACAAAATGTAAATAACATTACAATACAATCCAGGAAAAGTGAACACTGACCGACTTTGATAATAGTAAGGAATTATTAGCATTTTTAGGTCTGAGGATATTAAAGATTGGAGTTCTTTTTTTTTTATTTTTTTAATGTTTTTATTTTATTTTTGAGACAGAGAGAGACAGAGCATGAGCAGGGGAGGGGAAGAGAGAGAGGGAGGCACAGAATCCGAAGCAGGCTCCAGGCTCTGAGCTGTCAGCACAGCCGACGCGGGGCTCGAACTCACGGACCGCGAGATCAGGACCTGAGCCAAAGTCGGCCGCTTCACCGACTGAGCCACCCAGGTGCCCCTCCTATTCTTTTTTCTATTAAAAATTGATGTGATTAATAAATATTTGTTGGACGAATGAATGAATGAATGAGGGGTTAAGTGTGTTCCTCCTTTGGTTACACAAGGCCCAATGCAAGAACAGGTTTGACACAGATGTATAAGGAACATTAAAACCTCACAGAACTTATTTGCAGAACAAATCACTTTTGAGCCAGGCCCAGAGTTGTTGGATGACTTTCCAGGACCAGGAGGCCCGTAATGAGTACAGTCAGAACCAGGTCCTAAGCCTCCTACTTCCGACGCCAGGTCTTTGGCTTTGTTACTCTGTCTAGTATCATCAGATACATCTCCCAGGCTTCCCAGGAATGGGGGTAGAGAGAAGATGTGAGGAAGGGGTGGGGAGAACGGCGGAATTGCTCTTTGGTTTGTTTTTGTGCTTATTTCCTATTTTTATCGTATCTTGGAATTTCATCTAAAATTTGCCTCTGTACCAAAGTCCTTTAAAGGCAGTGGCTGTGTTATCATTTTTGTCCCAATATCACCAAGTACAATGTCTGGGGGGAAAAAATTAACCTCTATGAAAATTCAGGGTGTCGGGTCACCCAAGAACAACCATCCCCATGAGCTCAGTGGGTCAGACAATTTTCATAAGAGGAGGAAGAGTTGCCACGATAACCCATTTTTCCATCTGCAGCCTTTTGCTTTCTGTCCTTCACAAGCTGGGATGATATATCTTCTACGACAGGCTAAAGAAGCCATCCTGAGTGTTGGATACCCAGTCCCGGCGAGGTAGCATCTTACCGAGGACAGCAATGGTGGCCATGTCTCCCAAGACAGCACAATCTTTCCCAGAGACGGGAAAACATAAGATGAATCTCACCAAGGCCAAGGAGAGAAGATCGCCCACTCCCTTACTGCTCCAGACCTAGAGGCACAAGGCTAGAGTTGCCAGGAAAGTTACTGTATTGACAGGCTTCACGTTTCAGTTCTGTAAGTTTCTAAATTTCATCTTGGCTCTTTGGGAAGTTCATTAACATGCCTTTGCACTAACTTCTTGGAGGCAAACGCTGTTTTGGTTTCTTAAAACATTCCTCTACAAATCCCTTCGTGGTTTCAGGCAGAGTCTGGGTGGGCAGCCTCCCCATTTCTTCCCTGGGAAAAAACCCTGGCCATCTAAGACAGATGGAGGCACATTGATTGAATCTAAAGCTACTGAATAATAAAAACTCATGCAAAATAAATGCGCCCAGAGAAATAAGCTTTTCCGTAGCAGCCCATTCCATCATATTTTCCTGACGGCCCATCTAATTTATGATGGCAATTCCATGGCAATTCCTCTTAATTTCCTATTATGGGTAATTTATTTTTTCCCCTTCTGAACATGCAGTATAAAAGTTTTTATTGCACACATAAGGGACCAGCAGACAGCCTCCGACACTGAGCTAATGCCAACACAACATCTTGAATTGCCCCTTGGACATACGCTTTTGAAAAAGTTAATCAGCTGAAAGACTGAACCGCAAGACAGTTTTGACTAGAGTCCCCATCTAAACTCTGCAAGGAAAAGTTTTAGCGGTCACAAGGTGAAAGATTTAGGTTAAAAATGGGACGCCCTCAACCATAGATTTTGGAAACAAGTCACACCATTTTCAGGCAGATCCAAACGAATCTTCCAACGTCACACTTTCCATTTCACCGCTGGGCTGACAGGGCTTGCCCCTGGTCATCTAAACACTCTTTGGTACACTGAGGAACAGAACGGCCATCAGCACCGAGGGAGAGAACAGAAGTGTGGTCGTTGGCTGAGTGGAACACACGAGACGGAACCTGGACTGCTCCACCCGACGGAACCTGGACTGCACCGTGAGATTATCACCTGGGCTGAAATCAGGAGTTTGGACGCTGAACCAACTGAGCCACCCAGGCACCCTCTCCCTCTTTTGGTCCATAAATGTGGACTCCGTGAATGTAACTGTCCTATCGAAGAAGGCTGAAACTCTCTTTTTCCCTCTCCCAAACGGAATGAAGAGCAGCTCTTTAAATTTCTAACGCATCTGTGAAATACGGTGTGGTGGAACGGACGGAGATCTTAGAGCTGGAAGCCCCGGATTTGAACCCGGGCTCTGTGATCTTTCATTTGATGGTTTGTTGGTTTAATTTAAGTTTTTGTTTCAACCCCAGCTGGTTAACAGACGGCGTTAGATTGGTTTCAGGTGTACAATATGGTGACTCGACAGTATTGAACTTGTACGGCCCACGTGCCAAAGGGACGTGAGTTCAGTGCTACCTCTGCCACTAAGCATGGTGTGATGTGAGCAAACGCTTTCCTCTCACCTCTCCCTGCGAAGCGCTGTTTTTAACGTTGCAGTGTTTAATGCATTTATTGTCATTACCATGCAACCCAGTCCTTAATTCTATCGTCGCATCTGGGTTTGTCTTTTCTCTTGAGCTCAGCTAGAAGCCCCTGGAGAGACAGGCCCACGTTTTAGGACCACCCGTTCTGCAAGATGATGGGCGTGCGCTTACGCTCAGCACATATAGAGTACCTGAGGAAGGGCCTGGTGACAAAGGAAAAGACCTTCGTTCCCCTCACACGTGACTACCTATCAGTGACCTAAAATGTCTGGTAACCACTTCTCGGGACTCCGGGACTGCACAGACCCTTGGGGTGTCCATGAGCATCACCGAGAAAACACAGATTTGGGGCCCACCGCACCACTGCGAAACACGTAGCAAGACTTTCCCCCTCAGCCCACCGGATTGCTTTTTTAATTGGTTGAAGTTGGTGGGCTTTAAATCATAACAAGAGGATACAAGTTGGTTATAACACAGCAATTTAAATGAAGGCACAACTGTGATGTCTGAATTACAAACGGTGTGCTTACGATGCTGCATTTTTCTGGAGCGTGGGAGCCCGGCCCAGGACCGCCTGGCTGGTGCCGATAAAGAACCACGGCTATACCCAGTTAGCGGGAAGAGAAGGGGGTCCCCAGGCCGTCACTCCTGACAAGGTGGGGCGGAGCCGGTAAGCTGCCAGGACCCTGCCAACCCCCACCCCAATCTTCAAGGGAGGAGGAGGAGATACTGTAGATATGATAGCCACCCGAGGCTCAACGTCTACTGAGCAGTAGTATGATGCCAAGTCCTGCTCTTAGTAGTGAGAATTCAGAAAAGAATGAGATAGTTCCTTGTAGGTTCTAAATCATTTAGTGATTCAGGGTCAGTTGAGAGATTGGGTGGATGTTTCTTTCTGTCTCTGTCTCTGTCTCTCTCTGTCACACACACACACACACACACACACACACACACACTCAATCATCACAGTGAGGGTGGTTAGTAGCACTGACTCTAGAGGTTGGCTTCTGTCACTTGTGCTTTCCAGATTGGCTCTGGGAGGATCTGCACCCGCCCCCGTCCCCACCTGCTCTGCAGAAGTCCCAAGGTCAGAGTCTCAGGGTCAAAAGACCACTATTGGTTCACCCATGTCCACTCCCCCATCTGATACCAGCCTTGCCGTCATCACTGCTTGGCTAAATTGTTGACCTGGTTCTGGTCACCAGGGTGCAACGTCACCTACGGTGGTTGTCACTCCCTGTAGCTGGTTCCAGAAATGCTTGGCTTTGAGAATTGGAAAGTCCTTTCCTGCTTCCTCGTGGTTTCCCCCCGTCCACGGATTATCTGGCCCTGTGATCAACGCAACCTCAGGATGTCCGATACCCCCGGAAGTCTGCCTGTCTGAAAGAAGGAGAACGTGGAAAAAAGAAAGAGCTGTAGATCCGACAGGGTAAAGACAGGTCTCCAGAAGAGCTCAATTTCTCCTTTTTCAGAAGAAGAGGTGTTTCCCAACGGAGCAAGCATCAGTAGGGAAAGGTGAACTGCAGGGGATTCTCAGAGGTAAGTTTCCCTCCTACCTGTGGGGTTCCAGCCCACGGACTCCTGTCGTTTACTGTTTGCTCTCTGCTCCAACCTGATGTCTCAGGTTGGAGGCCATCTGAAACAGAGCGCTCGGCTGTGAGGCTAATGGTTTTGCCGGCAGATCACCACCCCCGTGTGGAGATCACCATCTCATTTCCTCGGAACGGCTGTCTTCCGTGCTTCCTTGGGGGTCCGAGAGCAGGGACTGCAGGCAGATAGTTCCTCCCTCGGCTTTGCTATCTTCTCTACTCTGCCTGGGGCTGGATCACTCTTTGTGAGCTTGCTCGCTCTCCCAGGACTCTGTTAAAAGGGAAGCATAGAAGACTGCATCGGGGTCTAGCCAGAGGTGCAGAATCACTGAGCAGGAACGCCTGTATAATCTTCCGGACACAGGGCAAAGTGCAAATGCAAGGGTTCTTGTTCAAAAATTCCGAATTCCAAGATGGTAGCAGCCGCGCATCCAGAGCAGGGTACTTCTAAGTAAGGGCCTGGCGTGGGTCGCATCACCGGGAAGCTGGAGGTCTACCTCTGGAGGGGAATCCGGAAGAAAGTGGAACAGTTTCAGACCCACCCTAATGGACACCTTTGGCCAGGCATTCTGGGAACAGTTGGGCCTGGGCAGGTTGGCCCATTACGAAGCCATAATGGCCACCACCTGCCAACTGAATTCTCTCCATCGATCCTTCTCTGCACAGATCTCAGCTTGTGGTCTTTGACCCAAGGAACCACGAGTGACAGTTTTACCAAACGTTTTGTCCCTGCGTAACAAGGCTCACTCAGTTTCCAGCTTACCATCTGTGTCGTTATCGCCTGCCATCTGACCTCCTCCAAAAATTGTTACATTTTAGGCTCTCTCGTCCCTACTGACTGCGACTTTGGGGCATTAATTATTTGCCAGATTGGGTCAAACTGACTGTGACCTCAAACTCAAAATAACAATGGCTGAAAGAAGATGAAAGCTTATGTCTCTCGCCCATAGCGACTCTAGAAGCATAGCCCAGGCTGATATGGTGCCTCCAAGGTCATCGGGGACCGAGGCTCCCACTAACCTGTTGTTCTGTCATGTTAGCCTCAGTCTCCATGACTTAAGATGGCTGCTGAGCATGAAATGTGTCCCCCTTGTTGAAAAAGCCTCCCAGAAGTCCCGGACAATACTCCTGCTGAAATGTCACCATCTGGAATTTGGTCACTCATCTATCCACAAGTGGCTGCAAGGGGGCTGGGAAATGTCTTTTTTTTTTTTTTTTTTTTTTTTTAGTTTTGAGAGAGACAGAAAAGGGGGGAGAGGGGCAGAGAGAGAGGGAGACACAGAATCCAAAGCAGGCTTCAGGCTCTGAGCTGTCCCAGAGCCCGACACGGGACTCGAACCTGTGAATAGAGAGACCACGACCTGAGCCGAAATCGGATGCTTAACCGACTGAGCCACCCGGGCGCCCCTGTCGTCTTTTATCCTGGGTGGTACCTGCTGACACGATATGGGATTCTGTTATTGCGGAAGAGGAAGTAACTATTGAGAGATAATGAGGGAGTTCGGGTAGGGTTAGCACTCCTTCTCCCCGTTACTCGCTGGGGCCCGCTCTTAGCAGAAGGACCCTGTCTGTGGGCTACAGGCTGCCGTGGACCTGGCTGTGCTTCACCTTAGCCCTGAAATCCCTTTCAGCAGCTCTCCGCCTCCTGGATCAGATCCTCCTGGATATACATTCTGACTTGGAGTCATATGGGTCTGTTAAGTGTAGCGGAAACATTCGCTCCTGGAATGACAAGTGCGATACTGTAGCCGAATAGAAGCTGCTGATGGGAATTTAGAGAACAGCTAGACAAGTGGTTTTCAAGTACTTCCAGCAGTGGAAACATTTCGTTCACTGCATTCTGAGCAGGGAGCCCAGTGTGAAGAAGGGGTGAGAGTCGAGCTGCCTCTGGTAGAAGCCGGGGTGCAGGTGGGGCTGGTACTCAGCCCTACTCCCTCTCGTCTGCTGTGCAGGCTTCCC